TTTTTCGATACTGGAACTTATAGTGAATTTCTCGACATTGTTCACAAGTAATCGGAGATAACGACTAGTATCGATACGTAGCTCAGAAATAGAATCGCGTCGGAAGTAATTTGTGTCTTGTGTCACCTTCAGCACTAAAAATAGTTTTAGGCCACTTCTATCTGGGATTCCTCTAAACACTTCGTTACCCGGTAAAACGGGTTTTATTTTTATCCAACAATTTAATTGGATAGCATCATCACTCAAAAAAAAAAATGTGACCTTTGTATCTTTCCAGTGCTAGGAAGGGGGGAGGGGGAATCTGAAGTGCTATATTTTGAGTTGTTTTTAAATAATTTAAAAATGTAAAAATAATTATTTTTTTTAAATCTCATTTAGTGTTTTTAGTAACAAAATGTGCCGATAATTATAATTTATTTTTTTGTCATAAGTAACTTTTTAAATACTTTTTGTGGATATTTTAGCAACCATACTTCAGTAGCGTAGCGAAAGGGGGGGGGGGGGACATATGTCCCCGGGCGCCGAGCTTAGGGGGCGCCAAAATGGGTTGGAAAAATAAATTGAAAGGTTGAGGGGGGTGCAAATTGAAAGTTTGAGGGGGGGGGGGGGTGCAAATCAAAAGTTTGTCCCCGGGCGCCGGGAAGGGTCGCTACGCCTCTGCCATACTTAAGTTTGCCACGTAGGCCTTTATCAGAACCTCACGTAATCCAATTCGTCACATAGCTGATAAATAATGCGCAGTGCATACATTAACTTTAAAAAGTAGTCTAAGATGTCATTAAACAGAAAAAAAACTTTGGCCAGTTCTAAGGTTATTGCCGCGTCTCTATTATTAGCCTATGTTTGTAATGTACTAGTAATCAGACGTCATTGTAATTAACATTGTACTGTTACTAAAAAGTTACAGGCATACGATTTTAAGTACGTTAACTGCATAACAATTCCTGTGGGGGGTTTTTTTGGAGGGGGGGGGGAGGGGGGGGAAGGCCAACTGCTGTCTGGTTTTAGACGGAAGTGCAATCACGACATTTTATGCAAATAAAATCTTTTGATGTTATAGTTTCCGGGTATTTTAATTTTACAAACGAAGGAAATATTTCAGATGCATTGATCATCAGGTTGGGTTTGCCTGTCGCCCCTTCTGGAACATAGGCCGCTGACAAGAGCTTTCCAGGCGTCTCTGTCCTGGGCTAGTCTCTCCAACTGTCCCCAGGTGTCCTGGGCTAGTCTCTCCAACTGTCCCCAGGTGTCCTGGGCTAGTCTCTCCAACTGTCCCCAGGTGTCATGGGCTAGTCTCTCCAACTGTCCCCAGGTGTCATGGGCTAGTTTCTCCAACTGTCCCCAGGTGTATCCACTCTTCTTGGTGTCAGGCCTCTCTGTCCTGGGCTAGACTCTCCAACTGTCCCTAGGTGTATCCAGACTAGTCTCTCCATTTGTCCCCAGGTGTCCTGGGCTAGTCTCTCCAACTGTCCCCAGGTGTATCCAATCTTCTTGGTGTCAGGCATCTCTGTCCTGGGCTAGTCTCTCCAACTGTCCCCAGGTGTCCTGGGCTAGTCTCTCCAACTGTCCCCAGGTGTCCTGGGCTAGTCTCTCCAACTGTCCCCAGGTGTATCCAATCTTCTTGGTGTAAAACATCTCTATCCTGGGCTAGTCTCTCCAGCTGTCCACAGGTGTATCCAATCTTCTTGGTGTCTTCTTCCAGGTCACGTCATCAGGTCTTTCCTGGCCAGACAATTTCTATCTTCTTCAGCTGGCAGTTGGTTTTAATTTTAATGCTCCCCCTTAATTTAGTTGTGCAACATATTTCCATTAAATAAGCCAATTACAAAATTAACAAATAAGTTTTAAAAATATTTGAAATGCGATGTTTCGTGTTGTCAATAAAAAGTGCGTCAAGAAATTATAATCAGTTAAGCCATTATCACTCTAGTCTTAAAATTATATTCTTCATATTTGATCGAAGCATTGTGTAAAGCATGTTTGTCGACTTATAAGGTAGCCAACGCTTCCCCGGCATAACATCATATTAATCACAAGATTATGTCCTGGAATTTCCAAGGTCACACAAGTTTTAAATTAATGGCATACGTTGCCTGACGACAGCTGTCATGTGGTATAATCATCAATGATGTATATTTGTAGAAAACCCGTTGACATAAATACCAAATAAAGCGTTGAAACGTGCCAACACATCACGTCTGTTGAACACATGGGAGTCTCTTTTTTAAGTGTTTAAAAAATCGGGGATTCCCGTCCAAATATATCACCTTACTAAAGTCTTATCTGCGTACATAGCGAAACGGAAGCTGCGGAGTTTAATTCTTTTTTTTTTAAATCTTACTGAATTTAATTTATTGTATAAAGTTTCTTTACAGTATTTCGATTGATTTTTAAAAATAGCTTTAACGTAACGCATTTTACGTCTTGGATTAACGTTTAAAAATTGCGTAGACAAAATTTACGTTTTACAGTACATGTAGAGCGTGAAGTTAAATAGACGACGAGAATCCTTGAAAATTAATTAGCTTTAAGGTTGGTCGTTATGTGCATCACATTACATGGCTTTAAAATATGCGGGTATTAAAAGTAAACTAATTTGAAATTACTGCAGAATTTGAAGATAATTCGATTACCTGGCAACTTGAACTTCCACGAGGCGTAGACACAGCTGGCACCGTGTGAAATGGTTCTAACAATCGTTTAGTTTACCGGTCAGCTCAGATAAGGTTTGACCAATGCGTGAATCTATCCTATCATACCTTGCTTGATAAACCACTAGCCAGAACAGCTGCTGTTGTCTATCTTTGGTTTTAACAGAGCTGAGCCCATTTCTGCAGACAAATACATTGAAGATCAGATACTTAGTTTAGTGTTGAAATAAAGAATATTTTCCAATTTTAAAAATTGCAATTCCGTTAGATCTAGAAGCATTATATAGCAAAATATAAATGTTGATTGTAGTGTGAAATGATAATAATAATAATAATATATTTAAAAAAGTATTTAAATACACTCATTAACTAGCCTTTTTAACGTGTCTTAATAATCCAGTTTTAAAATAGGCTAATAGACTAAACACTCGCAAAAACATTTTAACACTGCCATGATATTATTTTTATTTAAATTTAAATTAGAAAATATCTTTCTATTTTAAAACACCAATCCTAAAATTGTTCCCATAAAAGTGTAATAGTGAGAATTGTTATTTATGTTCTCAGTTACCTAGTTTCTTGCTATCACAGCTGACTGCTATTTCTGGCATAAATAAGTTATTTGTTTACTTTATACTTAAGTGCATTCATCTAAAGCTATTTAGATAAGTATGTAAATAGCTTTAAGCTATGAGTTTTACCAGAGGTTCTAACGTAGCACATCCCGCCACTATTTACGTCTGATTATTATCACCCTGTTTTGGTTAAAAAAAAACTTTAAAATGTTGATTATCTGTATTGTATGCAAGAAAGGTAAACGTTCTTTAAAATGAGTTCATTCTTGGCACAAAAATGCATTTACACCATTAACTTCGCTCAACAACATCATGTTTTTGAATAACTATTGATTCAATGTGTTCTGTTTTGTTGTTCATTTTGTTTTATTTTCGCGATTAATATAGTGGGCTATATTTGGGGATCAGAGTTTCTTCCAGGCATCTCTTCGGGGGGGGGGGGGGGGCTTCGGCCCCCCCCCCCCCCCCGAAAAATTTTACCGCCCCCCCCCCCCCCCCCGAACGAAATGAAATTTATATAATTTAAATAGAAAATATATACTTTTAACAGTGTCCGCCCCTCCCCCCCCCCCCCCGAAAATTTCAAGTGCCCCCCCCCCCCCCCGGAGAAAAAAGTCTGGAAGAAACACTGTTGGGGATTTTAATCGAAAACTCCTTTTTTGGGTCTATTTATAGAGAGCAAATTTGTCAGGAGCCTAATCGTCAAGTTATATTTCCGGGGTCTTTTTTGTCAGAAGCCCGTTTGACACGGATTTCTTAAAAGGAATCCTTTGTTGTTGCCAATATGTCGGGGCTATTGTATTTCGTTTATTCGTGGTTTTGCCGTTCCCTGTGTTGGCGAGTACAAGGATATTGTATTGTATGATCAGGTTTCTAAACAATCCCATACGTTTAAGTTTGAGAATTTCCTGAGGCTATCGTCTCATCCTATTACAATGTGTGTGTTTGTGTGGGGAAAAAAGGGAAATCCCCTTTTAATGGGTTGTATTTATTCGTTTGACTCACTTGTTCAGGGGCGTAGCTAGGGTTTTTTGACGTAGATGGAGCTGTGAGTGTAAATCTATAACAAGCGACAACTTCCCACGCATCCGATCTGGCGTGGTAACTATTTTAAAGCTAAAGTTCTATAAATAGATCTCTGTATAGCGCACTGGTGTTCTGAAAACTTTGTACTGGCAACGCCTTTATTCTCTCTCATAGCAGACTGTATTGATTAATTGCTTTCAAATGGTGCAGAGTGCAGCAGTGTATGCACACACGACCTTTTACTTTCACTGACTTGACCCACTTGAATATCCCTTTTATAAATGTTTACTGCAGCTGAAGTACTTGTACTCTTTCCTGAATTGCGTCGTCATATTCTTTGCTTAACGAAAAATCCCCACGTTTTCTTCTCTAATTTACTTTATGTTCAATAAGTAAAAGGGAAACTTAAACCAAGTAAAATTGCCTCTGGCAACACCCTCGCATCTAGTCTCAAATTTCTTCAGATTTCGATCAATTGTTTCGCACGAACCTTTGTTACACAAAGCTACTTTTAGAATACGGAACTACAGGGGTGTAGTAACTTAATCACACCATGACTAGGACGTCGTATTTATATATAGACATTATGCCTGTAGACTTACTGACCCTTGAAACCCTAAGAAAAGAATAGCTAAGATTGTACAAAGAGTTGTTTTGTTAGTGCTTTTTTATGGTAACAGGATTTGCTGATTGTTATCTATTTTAAACTATATGATTATATATTATGGGTATATGTAAATAAGCTTAATGATATATAAGACTGATGTGTATAACACATGTTTATTTTAAACTCATATACACACAATACAACACAATAAACACATAATACAACACAGTAAACACATCAAAAACACCCAGGTATATATGAGTATTGCCATAATGACAAAGTTATAACAACATATAAAATTAAGCACCTAAAAATAATGATTAAATAACAAACATTCAGATCTATTTGCTAAATTCCCTAATAGAGCTACATGACTTAATTACTCATCAACAATGCTTCTAACTTTAGACATATGTAATGTAATGCTAAAACATTTTACAAAAAAAATGTATGCCTATTTAGATAGAAATATCACAAACTATTTTATAACACTAAAAAAATATATAATTAAATTTAAAATTACATTTTATCTTGCATCCAGTTATTATTTTGAAACCTATTTAACTAAAGTATGTTTTGACTGTGGCCAGAATTTGTTTATTGCATGATGGGCAGTGGGTCAGCAGTTTGGAGCATTCTGTACAAGCATAGAGCTCTCCACAAGGCAGGAACAAGTCTTGTACTGGTGCCTTGAAGCACACTTTACATGTCAGCTGTTCCTGTAGTTTTTTATTTTCTTTTTCTAGAAGAGTTAACTTGCTGTCTTTTGTTGATTGCTTTCTACCTGCAAAAGATGTAACAGTTTATTTATAGGCTACTATTGTCCTAATAGACTAAGCTTTTCAATTTTGTGGCCTGTCATAAAAGTGCTTGATAATAGATGGTATTTCTGGGTTTAGGAGTTAGAGTAGATCATTTTTTTATTACTGGAACTAGGGTAATCTTTTGGATTAGGGTTAGTGTTGATGGCAGGTAGGGGCCAAAAATGTTAGTTATAGGTTTGTTACTAGCAGTATAACCAATCAATAAACAGGCTCATCACACTACAATTTGATGGTATTACCAGCCAGTTTGATAAAGTAATATTTCCCTAAATGTTGTAAGGATGATGGTATTGTACTTACTGTTAACATCTGCTGGAGTTGTGGCTGCACTGTTGCAGCTTGTAGCCTGTGGTGTTGTAGCAGTTGTGGGGTCAGCTAAATTTAAACTCTCACTGCCAGTTGGCTTTGAATCATTGTGATATTGGGTAGCATTTGACACCACTGAGAAAAACAATAATATTTATTGAAATTTGGCTTTTCTTTGGAACAGTTAGATCTTTTATTTTCATGTTAGATGCCTGCAGTGTTACAATATTACACACACACTTACAGACAAGAATCATAATATTAGAATTTGATAGTTTATTGGCATAAATTTACCAGACCACAATTAATAACTAAAATGTATGCATTATTTTAAAACCATGAGTTTATTTCTTTTAATAATATAGCTCTTATCATGTTTTAATTTAGATTATGAAGTAATACCAATAGCCAACCAAGCAGTTAACAGACAATGCTATTTGAAAACACTGTCCAGCTCCCCAGAACAAAATGGCTACCTGTCTGACTGGAGTTGGGAGCAACTGGTCCATGTCCAGCCTTGAGCTGTGAGACCAGGAATGGACACTCAGGCCGGTACTTCTGGTGCTCAGTGTAGATGTCATCCCCAGGTTTCCAGGACTTGAGGCCCAGACCACACTGGAAGCAGCGCACACAATCTGAGTAGCCTGCAATGAGAAGGGTCACAGATATTTGCTACAGCTGTTGTGGAAGATCAACATTGTTTTGTTTATATTCACAAGAACTTTCATTGGGTAGCTACATTTTATGTGAAATGAGTTATTTTTAAAGCAGTGAAATGTATTTGTTAATTTACCTCTTTATTACAATGGTGTGATATTTTAATTAATCAAAGTGTAAGGAAAATGATTGTAAACAATACTTTTTAAAATCATTAAGTGTGAAGAATATGTAAGCTATGCCTTTTTAGGTAAGGCTGAAGAATACAACACCTATGCTATTTTAATCAATTAAGTGAAAAGAATAATATTATGTAAGCAGTGTTTTAATAAGTTTTCAAGTTGTCACATGCACAGAAAGAACTGGTCACTTACCAGCATAGAAGAATCCTGCATGAGCCAGGCTCTCTGGAGTGTGAATTGTCTGATACTGCCAGTTGTTTAAGCTATCCAGCCTTTTCTGAAACACTATGTAGGCAGGGTAGGATGGGTGGCTCAGGACTTTGAACACTGGAGAGTTCACTTGCTGCTGCCCAGGACCTTCTTCATCTTCACTATCTGAGTTGCCAGGATTTGTGGCTGACTGACTTTCACCATTGTTGGGTGTTGAGGTGTTTTGAAAATCACTTATCACACAAGCTAAACAAGTTTAAAAAATATATAATAAATAACATTAACAGCCTTTTTAATTGTATTCCTTTAGGTCTACAAAACTGAGTAAAAAGTAAATAGTTAAAAAACTATGAAACAATATCTGTCAAAAAAATTCAGGTTATTTTTTAAAAATCAAAGTATTTATAGTAAAACTAGTATGAACAAACAAAAATGGTACTTACTTTTGAAGACAGAGCCACTTAAACTGTAATTGGTGTCGACTCCATTGTGCATCCATAGGTGCAAGAGAAGATTTTTCTGACCCCTAGCATCTGGCTGCCCATACTGGAAGGAGATGACTGGAGCTCCTGATGAGCCTTTGCAGGTGTCTGCCGCATACAGCAACACCTTGCGTGCATTGTCAACATCCACTTGCCCTACTGGGAATTGGTTAAAAACAAATTTTTTATGGCACAAACCTAACAGATACAGCAATTATTAAATATTAATTAATTAATATTAATAATATTGATAAATAATTAAAATAGTAATTAACTTTAATTATGGATGTTGTAAAAAATGTAAACACAGAAGAAAAAAAATACCTTGGTTTCTGTTTAATTTTTCAATTTTGTATTGAGTGTTTCCATTGTTGGTCTGTGTTTTGATTTCGTATTTGACGGGTACTGAGTCGCCATAAGACAAAACTTTTTCTTTGCCATGGGGATGGTTAATGATAAAAATCTTCTTTGTCAGCACTTCTTTAATTTTCCTAGGGAGTTTGTCCACTGCTGCTATTATTTTTTCTTTAGTTTGGTTGATGTCTCTGACCAGACCAGAGTCTGATGTCTTACAGACTAGGATGGAGATGTTCTCGCCTAGCTTGGTGCTGCGCAGGATGTACTTTCCTTTCATCTCTTTGACACCTCTCCTGGAGGGCTGATCATAAAAAAACTCTACAGTTGTCTTAGCAGCTTCTTCATCCGTCTGCACCACATGCCAGTTTACCTCAATGTAGAGTTTCTCTTTTTTAGGTTTTTTTAACACGTTGGTTAAAAACTTTTTCACTCCATGACCTTTGCCCCCATGAGAAGCTTCAGCTGGTTCAGAGTTCTCTTCAAAGTTTGTAATGAAAGAAACCATGCCGGTCCCAACCCTAATATCAGAGTCTTGATTTACTACAACTCTAACCGTCAGTTTCCCAAACAGCTTGAGCAGTTCCAGAAATTCTGTGTTTCGACACTGTGAAGGCAACTGCTCGGGGGTCAGGCTTGTCAATGGGAAGTAGGCAAAGTGGCCAGGATTTTTTTTGCATTCCATTCTGTGCAGTGGTTCCTGCCATTTTGGATCATCTTTCTTAATCTGTTCGCCTTCACCGTCACAAGGGTTTTCTAAAATTAGAACCAAACACAATACCTGTTTAAATCACAATTTGTTTCATTTACTTTACTATAGAATTTAATGTGCATATATCTCTAAACTAAGGATAAAAGGTTATTTATTTTTAAGCCTACTCACCAACAACAGGATAATTTTTTCCATTAGATTTCACAAAATTTGATCCACATAAGCCAGAGAAATTAGTTTCACCTGGAATGTATTGAAAAATGCATTATATGTATTTATAAAGTTTATACTTTTAGGTAATATAATTTTTGTAAATGATATATTTAAAAGATAAAAATAATTAATTTACCTGCTGTTGCCCCAGAGATGGTCTGTAGCTCACAATTAACTGGGTTACTTGTTTGTATAGCACTGTTGATTGGCTCATTTGTTTCTATCCCACTGCTGATTGGTTGATTTGTTTCTATCCCACTGTTAATAGGCTGATTTGTTTTTATTTCTGTATTGGCTGGATGACCAGTTTCTAATCCCCTATTGCTTGTTATTGGTGTTTGATTGTGTACATGATCAAGACAAACCATGGCTATGTTTCTACCTTCTGCACTATGTTCTTGATTCAAAATTGGCTGGTTGCTATGTTCAACAATATTGTCAGCCAATAGCTCATTATGGCCTTCAATTGTATTAGAAGAAGCTGTGGCTGAAGTCATTGCTTGAGGCTCACCACTTGTTTGATGGGTTGTAGCTAGTGCTTCATCATTCATCAGAGTGGTTGTTGTTTGTAATTCATCACTTGTTTGATGGGTTGTAGAGTGTGAATTGCTTGGATCAATGTTCCAAAAGTCAGTAAATCCTGAATCATTGCTGCCTTGACTGTCAACAAACTGACACCCAGTGAAGTGAAAGTTCTGATGTTTTGGGTCCACCATGTAGTTCCCTCTGCTGAAGTCTCTGATTGGAACTTCCCTAGAGCAGCCCTGACACTGTACAGAGGATCCCCCACCCTGGTGAGAGAAACCCGCCTCTGAGAGTCTGGTGAAGGAGACTGAGCTGAACTGGCCTTCACATGATATGTCCCTGTAGGAAGCCAAGCGCAGGAAATTTGGTTGCAGTATTGAATACACACACTGGTCAGTTGAGGGTCTAAGAAATAATCCTTCAGGTTGCTTTAGCCATTTGTCCAACTGGCCAGATTTATCTGACAACTTGCCAAATAATGGTGATTTAGTAGAGCTCTTAATACTTTGTATATCATCATTAGTAGTTGCATTAAAAAATCTTTGAAGAATATTTACAATGTTTTTCTTGTCTTGAAATGAATATGTTACAAAAAAGTTATTTTTAACAAACAGATGCAACAACATTATCATACAAATGGTAGAAGAAATAAGATAGTTTTGACCTAATTCAATCTTTTCCTCACGTAACAATTTACTATCAAACATTGCAGCAACATGTTCAGGTATATTCTTCACATTGTCACCATTTACTGATTCATTTTCTGGTGATATTTCAGCTCCAGTGCTTTTAAAATATCCAATCAGTTTGACATTATTTGGTGGCTTTAAATTTATAGTAAATGCCAATTTAGCTATTCCTTCTGCTAAAATCATTGCTTTTAACTTTGCCATCAAAGTCTGTAGTTTTTCTCTATGACTTTCAATTTTTTCAAACAAAATCTGCTGATAAGAAATGTCAATAGGACCAGAACTGACAACATCATCTTTCTCTTCTCCAATCCTTAAAAAAATGAGCAGCAAGCAAATCAGGATAATGAAGTATACTTTCATTCTGGAAAATGGTATCATTATAGAAGGAAGTGACTGAAGTGTATTTTTTTCTAGTTTTAAAATTATAAGCCCAAATACTTTTTAATAATGTTTTATTAAAACTGCTCCACTGTAAATATTTGATTTTTTTTTCCTGTATTTGAAGTTGGAGAGCTGCTTCTGTTTTATGGGAGACGTGACTGCCCTTTGAACAGACTTAAAATCAAAATAAGCCGTGATACGAAGCTACCTGTAATAAAAATGGAAATCACAACAAAAGAGGTATGGCTACAAAGAGAGTAAAAGAAGTAGATGCTTATATGACATATCTCTTTTAGTGTGATGTTATCTTTAGTGTTAGGCGTTAGGCTATAAAGAGTAATAGGCCTAAATTATAGGTAATTAATAATAATTTATAATAAGTAGGCCTATAAATTCGGTATTAAGCCATTCCAATAAAATAAAACTACCTATATGTCTATATATATTATATATATATATAGCCTAATTTATAATATTATATACTATAATATAGTATATACTATATAGTATATATGTTATCTGAACTCTACTTCATCTGGCCAAATGGATTGCTTGGTCTAAAGAATAATCTTAATTTTAATACCATAGATTGCCATAGATCATAGAATCCAGTTATCGCTTATTTTTAACCTATTAATATTTAATAATATAGATCTAACCGTGTAGGCCTAAACGATAACGAATAATTATATTGAAAAATAATCACTCTAGCACTTACCTTTTCAACATTTCCACTGATATTAATAAAAGACTTGAATACATGAATAGAACTATCGCTACAACTAGATCTAGAATCTAGTTCTATACCAATCCTCGATCGCATTTAATATCTTTACCAACTTATAAATAGGGAAAACCGGTTATTTATACTACTGGGAAAATCCGGTTTTAAAATTCATTTTCACAGTGGAAATTTCTGTAAATTTTATTCTTTATTTATGGATTTTTTGCTATTGTGGTAAATCCAGAGTTTCTTCCAGGCATCTCTTCGGGGGAGCGAAGCCCCCCCGAAAAATTTTTACCGCCCCCCCGAACGAAATGAAATTTATATAATTTATATAGAAAATATATACTTTTAACAGTGTCCGCCCCCCCGAAGAAAGTTTACCGCCCCCCCGAAAATTTCAAGTGCCCCCCCGGAGAAAAAAGTCTGGAAGAAACACTGGGTAAATCTAGTTACTCCACGTTTTATTATTTTTTTATTTTGCGCTGTTTCGGAAAAATTGTTTTTAATCGTGTAATTTGATTTTGTTTCATTAAAACTCACGATTATGAAAGGCCAAGGCTATTCACAGCCGTTTGGGAATAGCCGTACTGTGGCTATTATATAAGTTAAAATAATAGTTTACAACGGGATATTAAAAACCGTTGTAGTTTTCTGTGATAAATGTTTTAAGGTACTAGACAAATGGCCCGTTGAGGTTGATAATGTTGAGGTAGATCTAGTGATTTTCGTTTTGGTTTTGATTTAGAGAAAAATACAACATTTTTCGTTTGACTGTGACAGTTTTCCTTGTGTTTTCTCAAAAGCACTCCCGGCAGACAGAAATATAGACAGACATAATAGCGAAACTATTATCGTAGATAATATATTTACCGTTTAAAATTTTCTGCTGTTTTTTTAAAGCCTTGCACTGATTGTGAATCAAAATAAATCCAATAACATAAAGTAAACCACAGCCCTAATTGACAATATTGGCATACTTTGTTTTAAACCCTGACGCTAAACTTAATATTAAGAGTAGCACTAATACTCATCTAACACATAATTTGAAGTTTGTGCCTAAAGAAACTGATCGTAAACATGAAAAATCAATTGTAGGCCCTAATTATAAAATCAAAATTTGTCTAATATATTAGCCAGCCTAACATATCGTCCACAACTACTTTATCTTACCAAAAATTTTAAAATTTATTCCTTCGGGGTTGTCCATTATTTCTTCCATTGTTACACTTTGTCACAAAATCAATGACGTCATACTTGAAGATGCAAAACACCTTCAATTGCAATTTTTGTATTATGAAACTGCTGGGGCAATAGCAGCTTAGTAGTTTGCTTCAATTTACAAAAACATGGTGCTGAAATTCCAATTTAAATGCAAACATACATAAAAAATTCAATTTTTGCAATAAAAATGTGGGACGTTCTTTGATCCATTCTTTTCCATAAATCCTCCCCCCCCAACCCTATTTACTCCCTCCCCAGGACCTTGAAGATATTTATACACTTCTAAACAAATAATGACAAAGAAAAAATTAGAAAATAAGTACATATTATTTGAATCCCTTTGCTTTCCCTACCACATTGCATTTTATCACTTTCAAGGAAGTTCCACACTTTTATTCTAGCATGAACCAATCACGAAAGAAGCAGTTTTTATAATGTATCAGACAAACCTATAATGTATGTGATAAATAATAATGCTTAATTAATTTTGTTATTTGTAATCGACGATAATTTAAGAGCTTAGTTGATAAATGAACTAGCATTTTATAAATGATAAATACTGAATTTTTAGACATCAATTTTAAGTTATGAATGCACAGTCCATTTTATCTTTATAGTATATATTACCTACCCCCAATACAGAGGCGGAGGGCGGGGAGGGCGGCCGCCCCGGGCGCCGACCCTAGGGGGGCGCCAAAAAGAGTAGAACATACTTTTAAAAGCTCATTTTAAGCTGCAGTTTTGAATTATAAACAGTCAAAGTAAAGAAATTTAACTGCTGAGAGCCTTTGCATACGGATGTAACTGTTTTCTACCTTGATTGTATAACTGTAAAACGTATATCCTTAAAAAAAATAGTGACCGGAAAAACCGCTTTCTAGCTTTCCTAGATGGGGGAGGGGGGGCGCTTTTTCGAAGTCTAAAATCGGAAAAATATCACACCGAATTAAGGAATAAATAACCGATATCACTCAGAAAAGAAACCCATTGTACTAAAGCGTATTTTACGATTGTTTAACATAAAAAAAAGAGTCAGTGGCGTTTAAAATCCGCTCTACCATTTTTTTTCCAAGATGGTGGGGGGCACTTTTTCACCAACAAAAACTGCAGGATGTGTACTGGATCGGTGACTAGATAACTCTTTTAACACTTTAAAGTGTTACCAAAAGTAGACCAAATAAGCTTGCACCTTCTACAAAATACAATCTAAAACAGTGGTTTTTAACTTTTTGGAGGCACCGAACCCCACCAGTTTCATATGCGCAATCACCAAACCCTTCTTAATAGTGTATCGTCCACACTGACAAAATCCGATCGTGAATCATATTAGTCGGCTGTGTGTCTTGATCTCCGCGCGGAAGCCCTGAGTCTGAATTGCCGAACCTCTCGGGTTCGATGGAACCCACTGTTCTAAACTCTTTTTGATTTTCTTTTTTTATTCGTTTCGGCTTCATAAGGAACATATACGTAGGCAACACTTCGTCAACTCACTTGATTTTTATGAATATCGAACTCTAATAATACAGCCTCCTCCTTCTCTATTTCAAACGATTTTCTTCAGAACTTATTTCGTCTTTTTCTCTTCCTCTTTCCCCATGGACTTCACACAAGCACCTGCATAGTGAAGTTATTTTTTGTCTTTCTCATATTGTGCCCTAACCACCACCTTTTCATACTCCACTGTCTTACCTAGCTCCGAGCCATAAAGTAAAAGATACATCATATTTAGCTATAGATCCTGGTTGAATTTTTTTGACAATGCATTTGAATTCCACATCGACTTAGAATGTTAATACGCATTTTATCGCTGCTGATTCTAATCTGAACGTCACGGACGTCAGATATTATCATTACACTGGTTATTACAGCTTCATCAACCAGTACAATTAGTTCTGAATTTGTTGTTGACTGTTGAGAAGGCAGCGCACATCTGATAAATCCAAGACTATGAGCTGTTATGTCCTTTGGATTCTAATTTATTTCCTCTAGCTGGTTTCATTATACAATCAACCAGTCAACGAAATACCCATATCGTATTCCGATATGAACAATAATTTGCTATTGTATGTTAATTGTATGACCTAAATCTAACAAACGTATAATCCAAGTATCTACTATATCATATAATCCAAGTATCTACTATATCATAACAGAGACCGTTCCAAAGATAAAACATAAAAAGGCTGTCTTAAACGAATAAGCACATGCTACACTTTTTTTTCTGACATTACTAATCATCATTTTTAAAGGATAATGCATCTGAATGGGAATTTAATTGGCGTCGAGTAAAGTTTTAGGGAACGACAATCATACAGCGTAATTATTCTTTTTTTCCGGACTGTCGCACACACACACACACACACATATATATATATATATATATATATATATATATATATATATATATATATATATATATATATATATATATATATATATATATATATATATATATATATATATAATATATATATATATATATATATATATATATATATATAGGGCTATATATATATATATATATATATATATATATAGCCCTATATATATATAGCCCTATATATATATATATATTGGGGGGCGCCAAACTGAAAGTTCGCCCCGGGCGCCGGGAAGGGTCGCTACGCCTCTGCCCCAATATAGAGTAACAAATTCTCTTCTACTCTGGTAACAGTGACTGAATGACGTTCAGATAAACAAAACACCCAGCTAATAACCAACGCTAATGTGTTTCACTTTCATTTTCTCTTGTAATTTCCGTTTTCCCGATAGGCCCTAATTGACACGCATAATCTAAATATAAACCTGGCTGGTTTTCATAAAAGTTTTTTAACGAATCATCCTGTATCCAATATATTCGAGTTATAAGGATTTATATTGAATAATACGCAATGAATAGTCCGTTTCTATTTGGATATATTAAACAATGAGCTTGATTTAATCGAAACGAATATTCTGAAGCTATGCATGAATAACATCAGACTCAGAGTTTCTTCCAGGCATCTCTTCGGAAGGGCGAAGCCTCCCCCCCCCCCCCCCCCCGAAAAAACTCTATCGCCCCCCCCCCCCGAACAAAATGAAATTTATATAAATTATATAGAAAATATATACTTTGTACAGTGTCCGCCCACCCCCCCCCCCCCGAAGAAAGTCTACCGCCCCCCCCCCCCCCGAAAATTTCAAGTGCCCCTCCCCCTCCCCGGAGAAAAAATTCTGGAAGAAACACTGTTCAGAATATTGTTTCTTAACTAGTGGTTCTTAACCTTTCGAGGGTAGGGTACCGAGCCCCACCAGTCTCATAATATGATAATTTACCGAAACCTTCTTAATAATAGCTCTATCGTGATTCACATGAATCGGGCGTGTGCCTTGACCTCTACCGAACCCTGATACTGACTCACCGAACCACTGCACTAAACGTTAAACCCACTTATTCACAGCTTACAACTCCCCCCCCCCCCCCCATACACACTTTAAAACCTATACACCATCCCAAAAGTCCGATTTAACCCTCTTTCAACCTCATTTACGATGTCTGAAAGTAACATAATAAAGAAATATTTAAGAAATAGCATAATGTATATATGCTTTAATGTGTTACTTTCAAATAATTTTGATATGTATTTTGATATGTAATCTACTAAAAACAGAATGATACAAATGTAGATGCACATACTTTAACTAATACACCCTTATCTACAAACATTGAAACAGAGACTTAGATATATACATAGTAAAACACAACTTAAAATAATGCACAATAAGTGATCCTGAAATATTCTATCGCGAGCAGTTTCATCCCATCTCTATAAAAATATAAACTGTTTAACGATATACTTACTAGTGACACTCTTGCTGAAATTTGGAATTAAATTGCTTCAACGAATATATAAATTATTCTGAAACTACAGTTCATGGAGTTCACTAGTTCAAATGACAACATTACAATACCAACGAACAGGATAAGCGTTTACGTTTTTCTTTTATCTACAAGTACTTTGGCGACAATGTGTGTGTGTGTATATATATTTGTATAGCTTTGGTCATTTTTAAAATTATCATTGCGTAAGGCTAAGCAATATTATTCTATTTATCAGTTTTGGAAGTAACATTTTAGATTACGTTAGCTTATAGTAATAGTAATAAATAAGCGGATAAGGCAGTTGAAAAATATTTTACTTGCTGTGTAAAAAGCAAAAATGTGTTATAAACTAATTGCAGTAAGTTAACCCACCCAAATACTTCGCAGGGGCGGAACTACAGTGCCGCCAGACCCCGCAATGCGGGGGGGGGGGGGGCACGCCGTTTAGGGGGCCCACAGCCGTCCATAATCATTTTTTTAGAGTTAAAATTAATTTTCTTGCATTTTTGACCTGATGGTTGTTTTGAAAAAAAGAATACTGTAGCTGTGGTTGGAGTATCTATTCTATATACTACAATTCCTACAATCAAACACACGCTGTTGTCGGCAAAAATCTTTTGAAAAAACATCAATTGCGCGAGAGGCCGCTAGATATTAAGACGGCTTTTTGAGACCATCCTAAATTTGGTACTGATGGATAAAAGCACATCGGTGCTTTGTTGTCCCTTTTAAGTTCCTCTCAAACCTCCCCTCCCGCTCTTAACCTTACAAGAAGCGTATAGATAGCGCCTCAACAACTAAGCTGGCTCGAATCGGTGGTAGTGTGGACAAACTAGCGCTCCAACAACTAATATCCAAGAAATAAAGTGCCGACATTGTTTACGTTTAATAAACACTGTTCTAGAAAACAAGGCAAACGTCTCAAATAAATACACGAATGATAGCGTGTTATATATATATATATATATATATATATATATATATATATATATATATATATATATATATATATATATATATATATTAGTTTCATCACTGGCACCTTGATAGTGGTTTTGTAAATAACAAACAGATAACAGATCTAATACAGTAGTGATGTTATATAGTAGCTAAGACATGCTGTTGCGTAAATTTTTTTTTTTAAATATACACATTAGCTGTAGTGTGAAAGCTTGGCGAATGTTCAAACCACTTCCATAAATTATTTCCCTTTTTCAAATAGTCAAATAGGGGTGCTCAAAAGCTCCTTTTAATAGATTTGTAATAATCAAATTAAACAGCAATTACTGATCTTAATTATTATTTTAAAAAAATAAGTACTAAAGAACGGTATAGTATAAAAATGAAACGTATTTAAAATAAATAATGTAAATACAAAAAAACATAAAAATAAACATAACACGAGATACCATTACTTATACAAAACTTCATGATTTATATAATTTTGACCGACTTTATGATTAGGGGTATTAAACATAAATGAAAACAGAGATTTTTCAAAACAGACCAATGCACTCATACACATGACATTTTGTTGTGATTAGATTTAATTGAATTTTCTTGTTCAAAACCCGATCAGGCCAGAAAGGAGTGTCCTATGTTCGTATTGTGTTTATATATATATATATATATATATATATATATATATATATATATATATATATATATATATATATATATATATATATATATATATATATATTTGGGGGGCCCAAAAAAATTTTGCGGGGTGGCCCATTTTTTCTAGTTCCGCCACTGATACTTCGTATAATTTATTGTAGACGCTGTATTTTTTTTTTACTTTAAATTTCGTAACGTAGCGTAGCAACGGTAATGATTTGGTTGATGTAGACAACCTTGCATCAGCCTATTATTGGTAATCAAATGTTTTCAAGTTGTCGGGTTTTCCTCCCCCTTTCACTTTCGGATTGAACATGAGGTGGCAATGTACTATTTATTAAACTGGCACCAATGACAGTGTGGGACCGGGCAGAGGCGTAGCGACCCTTCCCGGCGCCCGGGGACAAACTTTTCGATTTGTACCCCCCCCCCCCACAAACTTTCGATTTACACCCCCCCCCCCCCCCCTCGAGATTTCAATTTGCACCCCCCCCCCTCAAACTTTCGATTTGCACCCCCCTCAACCTTTCCATTTATTTTTCCAACCCATTTTGGCGCCACCTAAGGTCGGCGCCCGGGCCCCGCCCCCCCCTCGCTACGCTACTGGGGACCGGGCAGAATAAACCCTATTGCGCCTCGCAATTCGCTTCTCATGTCTATACTTCCAAATAATCAATTGTCTATCAGAGACACACCAGCTCACTTTTCTCCATCCACCAATTAAGTATTTAACATCCAAACTAGAGATACACAAGATGATAACTTTACGGATAGCAAGATGGCAAAAAGACAATAGATACCGAAAATTAACGTACACATTTGTCAACAGGTAATATGGTCTCACTGACTCAAACATAGTAGGACTGGGTCTTCTTGGCCTATTTATTTACGGCGTCCTGTTTATGTATAACATGTAGGCTAATAGTCTATTGTTCGAGTTTTCTATTGATTTCCAGTTTGTCGATAAAATTGATTCTCCAGTGCCCCAGCAAAAATATAGACTGACGTCAGCTACCAATTAAGTTACAATAGAATGCAAAGTATAATAAATTGTTCTTAAAAAATTTCAAAATAGACTAATTCGCTGTAAAAAAAAATCCGAACACACTAAGGAAAAATATATCTGAACAATGGCAATTTTTAGAAGTTTAACTGAAGTTAAAAAAAAACAACTAATTAGTAACAAGTAGTTAACTTGAAACTTTTCCCCATATAGAGTGAACTTCAGCTTTTTAATTATTTTTTTTTTACATTCAAAACAATTTTGTGAATGTAGGAATAATTGCCTATCATTTAGAAATTATTTATATATTAGTGCGTATACACTAATATTTTTATTCGTTATCATTTATCATTTCTTCGAATACGAAATCGATGTCTCAAATAGTTTTTTTTTTCCTCATAGGTTTTTAATCGCCTAGTAACAATTTTTGTTTATATGGACTATTTGTTTAAAGTTACTGCGATACGAGTGTTAGTATAATATTTTTATAGACTGAATTCCTTAGAACTAGCATAAACTTAAAACATATTTTAAAAATTAAAGTTAGTAATTGAATTTTTTTAAAGCCTTTTTAACAGAGTATAAAGATCCGGTTTTCAAGGAATTTTTAAAGGACATTATCATAAGAAATGTCTTTAATATTTAACATAAGAATAAAAGTGTCAGCATTACCTTGTAAAACCTGTATCATCTGTATATATATATATATATATATATATATATATATATATAAATATAATATTATATATATATATATATATAATATTTATATAAATATATATATATATATATATAAATAAATATATATATATTTATATAGATAAATATATATATATATATATTATATATATTATATATATATATATATATATATATATATATATTATATATATATATATATATATATATATATATATACATACACTCCCATATACGTTTTCAAACATTTACCTCGTATATAGGCCTACATCTACCCACTTGCTTGGCTACAGGACAACTGTGTCTGTATTAAATAAACACACCTAGCACGTTTGATGAAGTAACAAATGACGTCACAGTAAAATAGACTTGATTTTTCTATGCTCTTTTTAATGCGAGTTGTGGTGTAACTGGTTCAATGAACTGGTCTAAAAATATCGATGAACCAAAATGACAGGCAGCTTACACAAGCACTTGACAAACTATTGACTTAACGTGCCAAAGGGATTTATTTAGAACCCCCCCCCCCTCAAGATTTTGATTTGCACCCCCCCCCCCCAAGATTTCGATTAGCCCCCCCCCTCAAGATTTCGATTTGCACCCCCCTCAAACTTTCAATTTATTTTTCCAACCCATTTTGGCGCCCCCTAAGGTCGGCGCCCGGGGACATATGTGTCCCCCCCCCCTTTCGCTACGCTACTGATTAGATAAATCCTCACAAAACATCAAACATCATACAAGTTCTCCCACCTTAACAGAATTGCCCGGAGATATTACTTTAAAAATCCTAGATAAGCTAACAAGAATTCATGATTCAGGGTACAAATAGCTGACACGATGACACAGCAATGACATCAGCAGCGGTTTACATTCTTTTTGCCAGGTCACATTCTCGCCAAAGGTAGGCCTACTGGTTGTTAATATAGTCTTACATAAACAATTTTTTAAAAGCATAAAAAAATGTCAAAAAAGGTAGGCCTATAGATTTATTGCTTCGTACAATCTTAGCATTTTTATTTTTCTAATAAATTGATAGTGCACAAATTTTTTTCACAAAATAAAATATACATAAAGTCTTCATCAGCTTTATTGCTTGTTCTTCGAAAATTATACTTTTTTGCTCTATCAATGGTGGGTTATTTCAGTAAAGCCATAGTGATCCTATTTCAATGTAAAATATACATGACTTTAGTAGGTTTGTAATTATATTTTTACTCATTTACTCAAAAAAAATTAAATGAATCATTTTTAAATGAATCATAAAATAATTAATTACTGATATATTTTTACACGAAAACAATTACGTTCATAAAAATGTAATATCATTAATTCAAAAAATGTAAACAAGTTATGTCTTGCAACTTTTAATAGAACATTGTGTGCAGATCAAGACACAATCACGTCTAAAGTTTGGGTTACAAATACTGTAAATGATCGGATTAGCTGCACTGTTGATAAGATAGAACACGATAAAGAAATTGATGATCGAATCTTCCTGTGCTGTTGGGTGGTCGAGGAGTGTAGTGACCGCTGTGAGCAGCAGGATGGTGATGGTTGTCATGTAGCTCACGATGTAGGTGACGCTGGTAGCCAATAGCATGCGGGTCGTTTTTCCCATCAATAAACAGTTAGAGTTTCTTCCCTTGGTGCTGGCTGTAGGAAGTATTGGTGCAAGGGAGGTTGTGGAGATTTTCCTCCTTGATTTCTTGCTGGCGTTTGAGTTCAATCTCGGGTAATCGGTTGTCTGAATTGTATGCACATGAAGTTGGCTATCTTGTTTTATATCGTCGGCCTCCTGCGTAGTAACATTGGTTACCCGCTCAAAAGCAGATACGCCTGGTACAGCCGAGATTCTTTTGGCATCATATCGTCCTCTCGCGTTGTTTGGTTGATGATTGTTGTTGTTTACGTTCCTAGTACTACTATCGTCACTGCTGACATTCGTGTCTTGACTTGTATTTGATACCACCGAACTCTCGTCTTTCTCACAACTTGTTGACGATCGTTGTTGTAAGACAATATCACGTGAAAGTGTATTTCTCTGTGTTTTACCATCCAAACCAACACTCATTGTTTCTCCCAGCTTCCTTACCGCGTGTCTCCGTGCCGCTAAGCCAATGAGAAATGAGAATGTAGAGAGTTGAGAGGGTGATACAGCACGTCACGACAACCAGAACGTAGAAGCCGTGGGATAGTTTGGGCCAGATGGTGCCACTGTACTGGTCAGCGATGCCGCAACTGTACCTTAACATGCCCGGAAGTTGAGTCTTGCTGGCCAAAATACTATAGAATATTCCGAATGGGATGCTGAAGAGAAGAGACAGGCCCATGGCACAGGCGCAGATAACTCTTGTTTCTTTTATGGTGATTTGTCTGCCAAACGGCCTGCAAATTTTTCTGTACCTATGTAATATATATATATATATATATATATATATATATATATATATATATATATATATATAACGTAAGAGAGAGAGAGATAAAGAGAGAGAGAGAGGGAGAAAGAGAAAAAGTTAGTAATAGTGAGAAAAAACTTTGTTAAAAACCTGAAAAAATTCAGCTGAATTACATAGTCTTTGATGTGAATTGTGCCTTGCAATTTTTTAAGGATCTTAATTAAAACAGGTAAATTATATATACGAAGGGGCAATTTTGATGGACCATTTCTTCTACTTGTCTCCCCCCTCCCACCCCCACCCCACACACACTGGCATCAGTGTTTCTTCCAGACTTTTTTCTCCGGGGGGGCACTTGAAATCTTCGGGGGGGGGGCGGTAAACTTTCTTCGGGGGGGGGGGGGGGCGGACACTGTTAAAAGTATATATTTTCTATATAAATTATATAAATTTCATTTCGTTCGGGGGGGCGGTAAAAAATTTTCGAGATGCCTGGAAGAAACTCTGACTGGCATCGAAAAATCTCATTAACAATACAATTAATTAACGTATCTCAACCAAAACGAATTAGTATAAGAGATCATTTCTTATGGTTAAACACCTCGTGTTGTCTATGAAAAAAAAATTCCTTTGGTGTATATAAAAAGCTTACATACAAACTACAATGTAGCAACAAAAAAGATAAAAGATAAATAAAATACATTTCCCCCTTAGAAGCGGTTGTCTCGAAAAGGTAAAAAAAAAATGAAAGTTATTTCTGACACCACCAAATGTAACTGCACTCGCCTTATTTTGTATCCACCCCCACATGGACATTTATTCTCATTAGTGTTACATGTTGCCACGTTTAATATTTTGCTCCACACACCGACCTTATTATGGCCACTATGACCAATAGAATCGCCGATGTCCAGGCTGTAAAACTGTTGAGAAAGTAGTAGCCCTTACATACGATAACGTTAGTGTAGGTCACAGTGTGTAGAATGGTGTAGATTGTACCTGGAATAATTGGGTAGTCAATGCTTAGTCTGGCACATGAAAATTATAATTTCAGTGACGTTATATTTTACTTTTGATGATTCAATGTGTGTTGTCTTTATTATTAGAAATAATTTTATTTATTTTAATGCATTAAAATTTATAAATAATTATATTAAAAAACAGGTTTTACTTTAACAGATAAATCATTAAAAGAAATATGTCAAACTCACCTGGAATGATGACCACATTTGTCATCAGGTCCACGAAGGCGATGACCTGTATGAGAGTGACCGTCGGGGTTTTGTTAACTTTACGTGAGTACACCATCAGGATGAGCGAGTTGCCGAAGACGCCACAGATGGTCAGGACAGAGAGCAGCACAAAGGACGGGATGTTGGCACTGTTGTTGATACCCTGCAGCCACTCCAGGCACTGCCACTTCTCCACTTCTGAGTGAACCACATCTTGCGGTGTAACGTGTGTTGATGGCGTTGAATTGTTCATTTTTCATAACCCTTAACTATTATAGCTGAATTATCAACAGTTTAATTTGAATATGCAAATAGGATTTTTATACAGAGATTTTATAATGCTCAGCAACAACATATTTATAATCCACAGGAATCCCGCAGTGGGCTGCATGCTGCATGCAATAGACGCAAATCAATTTACATCCGGATGGTTGTTGCTATCAGTGGTTGCATACATGAGTGGTGAGGTTTGTTGGTATTTTTGTCGCGCATGAATACATGTTTACCGTTTACAGACACAAATGATGCCGAGCCTAAGCTACACTTATATTTACTTTTCCAATTTATAGCAGGAAGTGAATCGGACGTTAAAAGTTGCCCAGACCTTTAGAAAAGGCTTGTTGTCGGAGGTTTTTAATTTTTTTGTTGTGTTCCTCTGGTCAGCGGTTCCCAACTTGTATGAACTCACAAAGTTGGTTAAGCATACACTGAAAAAAAGTGATGGTCACAAGGTAGGTGAATAATCATGGGCAGTATTTATGTGACAAAAATATGGTTAGTGGGTTGATAAGAATGTGCTGAGAACCGCTGTACACCCCGAACTTTAGTCTGCTATTGTTGAGATATCTTTATGGGTTTCACGATTGTTAGAGCCTTTATAAGTGCATATATCATTGTAACAAATATCTCGTTCTCAAACTCTACCAACAACTAGAATTTGATGTATTTACCATTTTTCTAAAATTATTTCAGTCATTGACTAATGTATGAAGGTTGTAAAGTATCAAATAAATAAATCTCCTGTGTGATGTTAGCCCAGTACAACATGCTAGTATATCGTGTGTACACTTCAAAACAGTGCAACATTCTGGTACATCGTGTGTACAAATCACTGCAAGCTGTAGAACCTCGCGTTTACACATCAGTGTAACATTCTAGTGTGTCGTATGTGCCATCTAGAAATAACATGTAGTTTATATATATATATATATATATATATATATATATATATATATATATATATATATATATATATATATATATAAGAACTAACGGGGAACATAAATCTACCCTAGTTTTTAAAAAATTTAAAAACCACTTAATTCTAATTTTTAGTGAGTCGATTGATTTTATTATGATGTAATCTAATTTGATCAATAATCATGTAATAAAATAAAATCAATAAATTACATTATCAATTAAAAGCGAGTGATCTTACTTTTACATCTTCATTCTTAATTGTAATATGACGTGATCTGCTCTAATACAAGTAAATGTTGCATGTCAACTCGTTATGTGCTATTTACTCCGGTTTCTCAGCCTGATTTCCTTTCTGGATTTTGTTCCATAGCTTTTGTCCACATATGAACAATAAAGAAAGCAACAGTTGTTTGATTTTGGAGTTTTCCCACCCAAATCAGTTGCTGTCCCAAGTTAACGAGCACCTTCTTCCAGGTATTTGAACTCGGGACTTCTTGGTTTAGAACCACGAGTTTTATCGATCCGATTACACCGACCCCTCAAAAAAAAAACCAATAAATTTATTAGATTTTACAGTATTTAATACAGCAGTTTTTAAAGATAGCAACACAATCACGTCTAAAGTTTTGATTACAAATACTGTAAATAAAGGGATCAGCCACACTGTTGATCAGATAGAATAGGACAAAAAAGTTGATGAGCACTGCTTCAGCTAATGTTGGGTTGTCGAAGAGTGTAGTGGCTGCTGTGAGCAGTAGGATGGTGATGGTTGTCATGTAGCTAACGATGTAGGTGACGCTGGTAGCCAGTAGCATGCGGGTCGTTTTTCCCATCAATAAACAATGGGTGACTTTTCCCTTGGTGCTGGCTGTAAGAGATCTTCCAGAAAGAGAGGTGACGGAGTCTTTGCTGCTTTTTTTGTTGCTAGAGTTTTGTTTCAAGTCAGAGTGGTTGGTATTCTGACATACACAATTTTCTGGTCTAACTGCACGGTAATCTAAATCAACAGCATTGGCCTCTGATTTAACAGCACGAGTATGTGGTTTAACATCATCCACCTCCGGCTTAGTAGCATGTGTCGTCGTCTCAACAGCTAGAATCTCTGGTACAACTGTCTGGACATCAAGTGCTCCTGTCGTAGTGATGGTTGATTGATTATTGATGTTCTTAACGTCCATTGCGGTTTGATTGCTGTTATCAGTAACGACATCATAATTTGTGGCTTGAATTTTTTTCAATCCCACATCACCCTGATCTTTCCCACAATCTTTTGATGATTGTTTGTGTAATACGTTTTCACGCGGGGGTGTTTTTATTTTGTCTCTACTACAGAGATCGACACGCGACTTTACTTCAAGCATCCTGAGAAAATGTCTCCGTGCCGCTAAGCCAATGAGAATGTAGAGAGTTGAGAGGATGATGCAGCTAGTCATAACAACCAGAACGTAGAAGCCACTGTACAGTTTGGGCCAGATGGTGTCGCTGTACTGGTCAGCGATGCCGCAGTTGTACCTGTATCTGTCTTTGAGTTTAGACTTGCTGAGAACCAGACCATATAATATCCCCGATGGAATGCTGAAGAGAAAGGACAAACCCATGGCACAGGCGCAAATAATTCTGGCTTCTCTCGTAGTGATTTGTCTGTGAAGCGGCCTGCAAATTTTTCTGTGCCTATGTAAGATATATATATATATATATATATATATATATATATATATATATATATATATATATATATATATATATATATATATATATATATATATATATATTAATATTAATATATATATATGTGTGTATGTATATATATATAATATTGATATATATATATATATGTGTGTGTCTGTGTGTGTGTGTAAGTGTGTGTGTGTGTGTGTGTGTGTGTGTGTGTGTGTGTGTGTGTGTGTGTGTGTGTGTATTTTCATAGCATGCAACTCTTCCAATGTCTCTTTTACCACTACAGTAGGCTTGTTTGCATTGAAAATCATTACATTATTTAAGTTATGGAAAGGGATTATTTTAGGAAATTTATCTATGGAAAAGGATTTTTCTAATATGTTTAGTATTCTATATGATGATTAAAATAGTAAATGCAATTTATATTGTACTCTTTTATCTCACTTGAGACATGTTATAGTATGTCAGGCGCAATTACCTTGAATGTAATGTCCTAGCCCTTTTTATTGCGACATGTTTAGGGGAGTTATAGTGGAGCCAATTCTAAAAATATCATATATTTAGGGGTTTAGATATTTCATATGTTCATATTATTACAATCTCTCAATCTCTCTGTCCGCAACATATTTTCCGAGGCTATGAGATCAGTATCTTCAGCGATATAAGGAGAAATTAATTATGTGGGCTTTTGTTGAAAATAATATGTTGGATATATTAAATGTGTAAACTAAATATGTTTAAAGAAATAAATAAAAATAAAGTCATATTCGAATGTACAAACACATTTTTAATTATTCTACCGGAAAAGAGTTTATGGTTGTGGCAAAAACTCTCTGGAGATGATACAAGCTACATAAAAAACAATGTCTACATGTCACATGTTTAAACTACAGAAAGTACACAACACTAATAGCGTCATTGAATTTAGAATTCAAATAGAATTCAAAATCGAATGTCGAAAATGATACACAATACCAATGAGTCATATTCAATAAGATTCGCTTCTCACAACTTCCAACTTTAGAATATGAAGAAATTAGCTATATCATTGAAATTTTATTTAAATCTATAGATCTACTTATCAAGACGTACGCTATGAAATGTATACAATTTTCTTGACCAAAAAAAATAAATATAAATTAGTTTGAACAAACAACAGAAATAGTCCTACTATTGAATAGCCGGGTTTTTTGACGGAATCATTTAAGTCTCTTAATAAGTGTTGCATTTAATATGGCATTGTGTTTACTAATAATGTATTATAAATTGGTTTTAATTTTTCTAATAGACATTGGTAGCCTATATTATTTTAAATGTGTCCAATTTTTGGCTATTTAGTTATTTCTTTGCTGTGTCATTTATTTCGTTTAACAAGTAGTAAAGTACATTGCGTTTTGACATATAATTATTTTATAAATTTGTTTTTTTCTTAAATAAGGGGTCGTCCATAAATGACGTCATACTCGTAGAGGGGAGGTGGTCCGTTATTTTGTGACAGTGTGTAATGAGGGGGAGGGGGATGGGTTCAGATTGTGTGACGTCACACTTTTGCATTATAAAAAAGCAATGTTAGATTTAGCCGTTATTACGCGTTTTAGAAAACTGTTTTAATAAATTATAATAGTAAATGATTAAAATGCTCTACGTTGACATACTTCAGACAAGATTTGGAAAAATATCGATTCTTTAAGAAAGGTTCAACTGCAATTTTGAGGAGGGTTGTAGGCTGAGGTGTTACTTCATTTTAGAGGGGAGCTGCTATTTTTGTGACGATGTGTGATGGAGGGGAGGGAGTTAGTTAATAATCGTTAAAAAGTGTGACGTAATTTATGGATGACCCCTAAGTATATATATATATATATATATATATATATATATATATATATATATATATATATATATATATATATATATATGTGTGTGTGTGTATATATATATATATATATATATATATATATATATATATATATATATATATATATATATACACACACACACATATATATATATGTGTGTGTGTATATATATATATATATATATATATATATATATATATATATATATATATATATATATATATATATATATATATATATATATATATATATAAAAGTGTATCAACGTTTATAAAATTTCTAAAATTGTGTCTGAAATGTATTGACTTTGCTTTTTTGTTTGCGTTAGTGTTTGTGTTTTCTTTGTGTTTGTGGTTGGGTTTGTCTTTGCGTTTGTTTTTGTGTTTTCGTTTGTGTTTGTTTTGTATAAGTGTTATGTTTGCGTTTTTGTGTGTTTTGGTTGGTGTGGTTAGGGTGGGCAATGCCGGATAAATGCTGATTACTAAACACACAAGTTATGGTCCTTTACAAATACATTTTTCAGAGATGCCAGTGCAGGGCCTGGCCGGTACGGCTAGTATATATATAAACTAATTTTTATATAATTATATATATATATATATATATATATATATATATATATATATATATATATATATATATATATATATATATAATCATTAAATTTAATATTTATATTATGGCATAGGTAAGTTTTTTCTGTTCAACGTCGTCTTAAGGCATTTAAAAAAAAATAATAAGTGTGGTAGACCGACCTTATTACAGCCACTATTACCAGTAAAAGATTTGATATCGAGGCCGTGAAAGTGTTCAGAAGGTAGTAGACTTTACACACGATCACGTTAGCATCGGATTTTGTGTCTAGAATGGCGGAGATCGTACCTGGGATTATTGAATAACCAACTCTTTAGACTACAGACATGAAACCAAAATATTGTAGATGTAACTATTTAATTTTCATTTCTTAATCGAAATCACTCATTTATTGTAATATTTACCAAATAATTTTGCATCAACTTTTTTAAATTTTCAATATTCATTTTCTTCTATAAATCATTATTTTTTGTTCCGCATTAAAACTAGCTGCTATATCAATAATACTCAGAAACACGTTTTTATTATTATTTCATAATTTTGATTTTTTGCTTTTATTTTAATTGAAAAACATGGAACCAACCTGCTAGAACGAGCACATTTGTCATCAAGTCCACGAATGCGATGACCTGTATGAGAGTGACCGTCGGTGTTTTGTTAACTTTACGTGAGTACACCATCAGGATGAGCGAATTGCCGAAGACGCCACAGATGGTCAGGACAGAGAGCAGCACAAAGGACGGGATGTTGGCGCTGTTGTTGATACCCTGTAGCCAATCTAAGTGCTGCCACTTACCTTGATTTGATTCAACATCATCTTGCAGTATAACGTCGTTTGTTGTTGAATTGTTCATTTTTTCTAAGTTAGAATCACTTCATAGAGAACTCCTCAAATGTATTCTGATGCTCTTTTTTATTGCTAAAATCACGTTTTATTTTGAGGAAATCTTAATTTCTATATAGATCAGCAACATAATGTTTTCAAATCCAGCATTATTCATCCAGTCATAAATTGTGAATATTCAGACAACAACAGCCTTAGTTCTCAAGTCAGGTGGATATCTTGTTTTAATGTCATCAAAGCAATGAAATCAAGTATTCATGCGCACTAAGCATGTAGAAAGAAAGAGATGTGTTTATTTCCACACTGCGCTAGCGCATGAATACACGATTTCTTTTTCTCACAGAAGTAGATGACTGGATGTTTATTTGCTTCTACTTTTTAGCAGGAAGTTGTTGTGAAGTCAAAATATTATCGATTGATTGTTTGACACAAGGCTAGTCGCTAGATGATTTATTTTTTTCATATCGTACGTTCGGTCAGGGGTTCCCAACCTGTGGTAAGATTACCAGAAAAACTGTTGATATTGTTGATACCTTGTCAGTAACATACAACTGTGGAATGGGCTTGTAGTGAATGAAGAAGATGAATGGGGTGAATGTTGTTTGTACTTTGTAGGCCCCTACCCTATCCCTGTTCAAGCTTCGTTTGTAGAGCTGTGCCAGTCCAGTTTGTACTTGTTTATGTATATAAGTTGTGTGAAAAAGTGTATGTACGCCTCACTTCAGGCCAGTCCTACTACAAGTTTAGACTAGGTTAGTTCTGTGTACTTTTAGACAGTGTATCTTAGTTTATGAGCTAGCTTATGTTAATATTTAGAATAGCCTGTGTTTGTGTACATAGTGCAGACTTTGGTGAACTCTTTTTAGTGTAACGAGTCTTTTTTTTTCATTTAGTCTTGTGTTTTGTAACCCATTTGTGGTTGTTCGTGTTGTATGTTGCGCGACGCACTGGACTACCGGTAAAGGCGTGTCAGTGTGTTCACAATTAGCCAGTTGTTGAATAGCTAATATGATAAGCGTGCCTCTATGCCTAATTGCCATTACTATAACGGCAATACATTGGTAACGCATGTCTACACGGTTGCACTCTCAAGTTACACAATGCCTTCTTGTGCCAGAAGTTAATCAGAATTCAGAAGAAATTAGTTTGGTTTGTATGGAAAGAAAACAGTGACTGGACACATGGATGAAACGATGCACTGGGTATGTTTTTAATTTCACTTAACGAGAAGATGCGCTAATGCCAGGGTAGTCTAAATGGTGTGATAAAATGACATACATTTGACGCCGTTGCCGATTAGATTTTATATCTATCGTATACTACAATATACTTGGCATACGATGGGGACATAGTAATGTAAGGGAAATAGCAATTAAAGGGAAATAATAAAAAAAAAATAACTAACAAAATTATTGGGTCGGTAGACGGGAAACTAAAGTTGGATGACAGTAGTTGTAGAAAATAGTAAGAAAAACATGGTGAGTTGCGAGATGAGAAACATGGGTAGTGGGTAGGTGCCAAAACATGGGTAGTGGGTAGGTGACAAAACATGGGTAGTGGGTAGGTGACAAAACATGGGTAGTGGGTAGGTGACAAAACATGGGTAGTGGGTAGGTGACAAAACATGGGTAGTGGGTAGGTGACAAAACATGGGTAGTGGGTAGGTGACAAAACATGGGTAGTGGGTAGGTGACAAAACATGGGTAGTGGGTAGGTGACAAAACATGGGTAGTGGGTAGGTGACAAAACATGGGTAGTTACCAGATAAGTTACATATTGAGAACCGCTGTTTAACCCGAACCAAAGTCCACTATTGTTGAGATATCAACAGAGAGTGGGTTGGTTTTATATTTTCATAGGAGTTTACGAGTGTTAGAGATTTATAGCTCAGACAATGGTAGTGTCCTGCTTGCTTGCAATAAATATGTAGTTTTCACTACCCACCAATGACTAGAATATGCTGTGCTAAATTTAAACATGTCTTTACGATCTTTATTTTGGGTCAGGCACACTGTGTTGTATTATTCGTAGATGTGCGCCGACCTATGTCAACAGAGTGTGGGTACTCAAGAAGAAAATTTATAGCCTGTTATTTTGACAGGTGTCATAGCCTGTTTACCTGCAGTAGCTAAGACTAACCTGCTCATTATCTGACCTGTCGTGTCATTATTTTGTTTTTCTCCTGTTTGTTTTTGTTACACACTAGACTGGCTTAACGTTTGAAAATGTCGTTGTAACACTTGTTAATTGAGATTTTTACGTTTCTACTCATCATGAAAGCTGGGCATTAAATTTACGACAACCTATGTACAAAAATCCGGCAGGTTGTGTACTAGAAGTACACATGTAGTTGATGTTTCTCTGTTCGTTTGTCCCCCAATCATCCACCCAATACATGTCTTGTGGAGCTTGACCCACTATGTTTTTAAAAAAAAAACAGGAAAAAACTAATATCATTTTTACAGACCGTTTAAGCAAGTAACCCTCTACTGAATACAACTAGATTAGGAAATAAAATCAGTATCTTAATACTATGTAATGATGTAAAACTATCTTTGTATCCTGTATACAAACCTGCACACATAAATTATATATAAATAATTATAATACTGCCAAAAAAACCCACAAAACATTGTGAAAGGGACATAACCATTAAGTTGCCAGTCAACAAGGAAATTTCAATGAATATATATGATTTATATATCAACATGTTTTCATACAAGCAGATACAAAGATTTCTTATGCAAATTTCCAAATGCATCACCACCAAAGTTCCCCCTTCAGATCCATTGGGCATATGAAGTAGAGTTTATCGGCCTCGGCCTATGAAGGAATCCCCGGCCCCAATTACTCTCCCTAACGTGAGTCAGGTATGTTGCCCAGTGGTGAGTCCACACTGGGATCCGAACTCAGTCGGCCACTATACCACTCGGCCATTCCTTCCTTATTGTTTCCACATTCTATTTGTTTAAATTCTAAAGTAAATATTTAAATTGTGAAGAGAAAATTATATATACAAGGACAGTAAGTTGTTTTGTTAGTTTTTTAAGTTTTTCCAGCGTTACTTCCCCTTGCGCTTTCTGCTCTGAATTCCTACAATTGTAGTACAAACAATTAAAACAACAAAAATTCTTTACTGGTATTCAAACTAACTTAATCAAACTTGTCATTAAATGAATTAAAAAATCATAGCCATAGAGTGCTGCTCAGGGGATTGCAAAAGTCCAATGTTGGATTAAATCTCGGTTAAGTCATTCAATAAAATAAATACGTGTCTGAAATTACAGTCCATGCTGAGTTGTTTGGTTTAAATGTGTAAGCCAAAACCTCGTAGAACAACTCAACTTTCAGACTTTAAGCGTCTTGTTCTCCGTGATGATATTACATGTTTGTTTTTCATACGTAATCATTTTAAAAAATTTATAGCCTATCGCTCAACATTTCACCAGACATGTCTGGAGTTCGAATCAAGGTTCAAGTCAGTAGACCGTCACTGAGTCCACCCAGCTCTGATGGGTACCTAATTCACGTTCCGAAAAGTAAAGACGGCTGGTCAAGTGGAGACCACACTGTCCCTTTATATGCCGAGGTCATAGAAACAGGTAAACTCTACTTTAATTGCCTTATTGACCGCCTGGTTCGAAAAGGGAACTTCTTACAAAAACTTGAAAAAATGTAAAAGTACAGCGACATAAATAGTGTGTAATCTCTTTGAAAATTGTGTTTTTAGTACAATTACATCATGTTAGTACTTATAGAACATTACACTCATCATGTATGTCACAACAATCAGATTTTACAGTATTTAACACAACACTGTTTAAACATAAGAACACAGTCATGTCTAAAGTTTGGGTTACAAATACTGTAAATAATCGGATTAGCGGCACTGTTGATCAGATAGAACACGACAAAGAAATTGATGAGCACTGCTCCAGCTAATGTTGGGTGGTCGAGGAGTGTAGTGGCAGCCATGAGCAGTAGGATGGTGATGGTTGTCATGTAGCTCACGATGTAGGTGACGCTGGTAGCCAGTAGCATGCGGGTCGTTTTTCCCATCAATAAACAGTTAGAGTTCCTTCCCTTGGTGCTGGCTGTAGGAAGTATTGGAGCTACAGAGGAGGCGGAGTCTTTCCTGCTTGATTCGTTGGTGGTTATGTAACCACTGCAGGCGTTTGATTCGACGGTGTGTTTTGCTTCGATGTGACAATGTTTAGTTTTCTGAAACTCTGGTTTAGCAGTGCGGGTCTCATGTTTAACAGTGACTGTCTCCCGTTTGATATCCAGGGCATCATGGGCGCCACTCGTGTTTGTTGGTTTACTTCTGGTGTTCTTTGCGTTGATGGAGACTTTACTACTGCCGTCACTAACGACGCTAACAATCGTGTCTTGACTTGTATTTGATCCTACCGAACTCTCGTCTTTATCACAACTTGTTGACGATCGTTGTTGTAAGACAATATCACGTGAAAGTGTATTTCTCTGTGTTTTACCATCCAAACCAACACTCATTGTTTCTCCAAGCTTCCTTAGCGCGTGTCTCCGTGCCGCTAAGCCAATGAGAATGTAGAGAGTTGAGAGGGTGATACAGCACGTCACGACAACCAGAACGTAGAAACCGTGGGACAGTTTGGGCCAGATGGTGCCGCTGTACTGGTCAGCGATGCCGCAGTTGTACTTGTAGGTGTCAGGGAGTCCAGTCTTGCTGACCACTAGACCATACAACACACCGAATGGGATGCTGAAGAGAAGGGACAGGCCCATAGCACAGGCGCAGATAACTCTTGCTTCCTTGATGGTGATTTGTCTTCCAAACGGTCTGCAAATTTTCCGGTACCTGCATTATATATATATATATATATATATATATATATATATATATATATATATATATATATATATATATATATATATATATATATATATATATGAGAGCGTTAGGAGTGGGTGGGAGTCGTCATCTGCGTTGTCTTTCATCTTGTTGTATAGGTTATTCCGTAAATATTTAGTTTATGAACCACTGTGATGTCTTAGTCTTTTTCCTGCTCCCATAAACTTCGATTTGTCGGTGTCATTTTCAGCCACTGTTTTTACAAGCTTTTATTTAACTCACTTCCTCTGTCTGTCGTAAGTCGACAGTGTCGTCAGTCTAGATCGAAACGTAGGAGTGAAAATTCGGACAGTTCTACTTGACCGATACGATTCACAGTTGGCACGTGGGTCAAGACATGAAGACAATGCAATCTGAAACTAAATTTGACTTAATTGGATGCCTAATTAATTTTTTATGAATTAATTAAAATTTGGACCGAATCAGTAGGCATGTCAATCCAACCACACCACACGCGTCATCACTTTCAATAGCTGCGCCATCAGGTTTAATAGCTGCGCCATCACGTTCAGTAGGCGCGCAATGGTTTTTAGTCATGTAACACTATTGTAAATAAAACATGTAAAGTACTGAAAAAAAAATTCATAAAAAACGTTTTAATAACAAGCTTTTATGTAATGATGCACTAAAAAGAAGAAAATAAATTATACACTACTATTTAAATTACTATAAAGAAAAGCGTGGGTCACTTTAGTACTTTAGTACCTATTGGATACCTTTACTAATATTTGAGAAGATACCCACGCTTTTCTTTATAGTAATTTAAATAGTAGTGTATAAGTTATTTTCTACTTTTTAGTGCATCATTACATAAAAGCTTGTTATTAAAACGTTTTTTATGAATTTTTTTACCGAAGTCGACAAATCTTTCCATTACTGGCTTTATGGCTTTATCAGATTGTAATAAAAACTTCGAGTCATCGGCTAAAAGTTTATAAAATATATTAAGCAAATAGAATATATATATATATATATATATATATATATATATATATATATATATATATATATATATATATATATATATGTGTTGTGTGTGTGTGTGTGTGTTCGTGTGTGGGTTCGTTTATACGTTCTATATTTAATTTAGCAATATGTAGTACACCGACCTTATTATGGCCACTATGACCAGTAACACAGCTGATGTCCAGGCTGTAAAACTGTTGAGAAAGTAGTAGCCCTTACACACGATGACGTTAGTGTAGGTCACGGTGTGTAGAATGGTGTAGATCGTGCCTGGAGGGAATAGTAATTTAAATAGTAGTGTAAAATTTATTTACTACTTTTTAGTGCATCATTACATAAAAGCTTGTTATTAAAACGTTTTTTATGAACAAAAAATTTCAGTACTTTAAATGTTAAAAATTTACAATAGAGTTGTATGACTAAAAACCATGCGCACGTAATGAACGCGATGAAGCGTGTCTAATAGTGCGGAGTAGTTTAATGAGACAGCCTAATAATTTGGAAAAAAAAATTATTAATTCATAAAAAATTAATTAGGCAACCAATTAGGTCTAATTTAATGTCATGTTCCATTGTATTTATGGCTTGACACACGTGCCAACGTTTAAACAAATCTGTCAGTTAGAAGTGTCCGAAATTTCTTTCGGGCGTTTCGATCTAGACAGACAGACAGACTGACGACAGAGACAGTGAGTTAAATAAAAGCTTGTAAAAAATAAATGTTTTATTGACAGACGTTTTGTATCTTAAAATTAAATGGCAAACTCACCTGGAATAATGAAAAGATTTGTCATCAGGTCCACGAATGCGATGACCTGTATGAGAGTGACCGTCGGTGTTTTGTTAACTTTACGTGAGTACACCATTAGGATGAGCGAGTTGCCGAAGACGCCACAGATGGTCAGGACAGAGAGCAGCACAAAGGACGGGATGTTGGCGCTGTTGTTGATACCCTGCAGCCACTCCAAGTACTGCCACTTCTCAACTTCTGAGTGAACCACATCTTGCGGTGTAACGTGTGGTGATGGCGTTGAATTGGTCATTTTTATTTTATTGCATACAGAGTAGGTCTATAGAGGAAGTATTGTAATCGTGCTGAATAATTAACGAATATTTTATATTAAAATCATGCAATATCAGACTTTGATAACGTTTCTATCTAACTTATTCTAAACACTTTTAGTGAGGAAATATTAATGCTCATGCAGAAATAATATAAGGTAAGCAACATTTTTATAATATCGGCCAGAATACAGCAGTGATTAATTAAGACAATAAATAAGACAATAATTTACACATTATCTCCGTAATGATCTCAGTCCAGTTTGATTGCTTAACTGATCAAGGCAATGAATACCCGTACGTAGGTCGCTAGACAGAGGTTAAATACATGGGTGGTTAGGTTTGTCTATATTTAACTCGCGCATGAATACATTTTTCTATGTTTCTATATATAGGTATCCTGAAAGGCAATGCAGAAAAATATTTTCTTCGACTGTTTAGCAGGCAGGGATCGGTTTTCAGATCCTCTCCTTATGGACGGGTTCCCAACCTGTCGTAAAGGTAGCAAATACATATTCGTAACGTCGGCAATAACAGAAATATATGAGGTTCATCTGACATACAAAAACAATTATGGAAGTATTTGTTTATACGTTACCAGTGGACATAAATATTATATAACAGGAATACAGTTGTGTATCGCGTGTTAAAATTAGACAACTCCACACTTACACAATACTTTCTAGTGCATGTACTGTAATGTGAACTCAGGTGACAGGAATCCAGAGGCGTAGCGACCCTTCCCGGCGCCCGGGAACAAACTTTCGATTTGCACCCCTGTCCCCCCCCCCCTGCCCCCCCCCCCCCCCATTTTGCGACGCATCTGCAGGAATCTGGTTTACACGTGTACATTACCGAGATTGGTGGAGATGAAGAATTCAGTGAATTGAGCATTGAATGGTTAAGGTGAAAATTCGGTGAAAGAAGACATTTATGAAACGATACACTGTATGTCTATACAATCACTTAACGAAGACATGTTGTAACACCACGGCAGTCTAACCACTATAAAACAATTTGACGAAGCTGATCATTAGGTTTATTTTATATCGTATTAAATAAACTAGCGAAGATAAAGATATAGTATAAAAAACATTTACTAGCCATTTAATAGCAAAATTTAAATATAATTTCTCGAACATTCTTATATAACACTACGGGGGATGGCACCTCGGGATATAGACATGATTTTTAATCCATTTTTAATTACTTAATTACTTTAATTACTTAATTACTTACTTGTAAAATAGAATAGAATCGCGTAGAATAAAGAATTGAGCACCAAGTGAACGCCGAAAAAACAGTGTATAATAGTGCGGAATATTATTAGTACTTTATAAATTCACGTGCGTTTTGTGAGAAATCGGAAATAGTATAAATTACTACTTCCGGTCAACGGATATTACTCAAAATTTGACAGAAGACAGAGAATTAGAATTTGTACTTACAATTGAAATTTCATTTATCGGTCTGAAACAGTACTCAAGTTATAGGCTTTTGAAAAATTGAAACTAGAATAAGTTCCACTTCCGGTTATCGGAAATCGCTGAAAAGTTGATACAGAACTGCAAATTTGATATGAAATGTTATCAACCTAGCTGTAGCGGTACTCAAGTTATCGTGTTCACAGACACAGACACACATACACACACATACACACATACACACACAGACATACCCACAAGATTGCAAAACTATTTATGTTTTTCCGACTCAGGGAGGTGTAAAACGTCGAGATTTGCAAAGATTTCGATTTTTTTTTTTTTTTTTTGCACGATTACATTACTTTCTTTATGCTCTGTATACAAGAAAGTAAAAATACATTACTTGTGAACAGCGATTAAAAAATTAAGTTTACTTAATTTTCTAGATTTTTTTTATTTATTTTCCTGAAGCTAGTATAAAGCAGTAAATATAAACCTGCTTTTTAACGGATAAAAATATAACCTTTACGTGAATCAGTTGATTTATAACTTAGTAAAAGATTGATAAGAGATGAGTAAAACAACCAAGGTCAGTGGGTACATGAAATATATGTTGAGAACCACTGTTTACCCCGAGTCAGACTAAGCCGACTGTTGTTGAGACACCAGTAGGAAAGGTGGAAGGGGGGGGGGGAAGCTTTCACAAGTTTTGGTCAGGGGTTGACTTAAGTTATATTAGAGTAAAGAAAACAGTAGTTACTATTTGCTTGTTTCATTGTAATAAATATGTTGCAGCGATTTCCCACATACGCACACCACCACCAATCACAACAAAACACTATTTAAATATAGCATAACACCAGAGGCGTAGCGAGGGGGGGGGGGCGGGGGGTGCGGACCGCACCGGGTGACACCATTTAGGGGGGTGACACCAAGGCAAAAAATAGCTAAATATATAGAGGGGGTGAAAATCGAAAGTTCGAGGGGGGTGCAAATCGAAAGTTTGAGGGGGGGGGTGCAAATCGAAAATTTGACAGTTTGTCCCCGGGAAGGGTCGCTACGCCTCTGGGGGGGTGACACCATTAAGTGCCGCACCGGGTGACACCCGACCTCGCTACGCCACTGCATAATACGATAGGCAATTTGTTGAACTCCCGTCCCCTCCACTGTGTGTAGTTTCGCTATGTTACTAAGTAATTTATTTACAAAAACAAAATTATTCATATCACATTGGATAAACTACCCCGGCTTGTTATATAACATTTTTACACCACTTATTTAGGATCAGACAAACTATCTTGTATCAATCGTGTGTGTACCGCCTTATGTTATAAACAATATGTTACAACACGAGACAGCCCAGTTTGGATCATATAAACAACCTAATCACGTGACAGGTCCGTCCATGACCAGGTTCAACACATAACCACTGCAGGTAAACAGGGTATGGCACATGTGACACAAATATTAACTCCTTTAATCCATCTTGTTTAAACTCTAAACTTAATATATGGGTCATGTTTACGCTGAAAGCTGAGCTGCGAGTCTACCTCAGCCTGTGTGTATAATGTGTACAGGTTGTTGGCTAGATATACACAGCTAGTTGATTTTCCTTGTCACCTGTCCCCCAACATACCTGCACACGTCTTTTCCTGAGGAATATATATATATATATTCCTCAGGAAAAGACGTGTGCAGGTATGTTGGGGGACAGGTGACAAGGAAAATCAACTAGCTGTGTATATCTAGCCAACAACCTGTACAAATTATACACACATATATATACATATATATATATATATATATATATATATATATATATATATATATATTGCAGACATATTTTTGCATCGCTTCACCCAACTAGGAATATTGTCGACAAATGTTTGCGGTACTCCCTCTCACCCCTCAACCTGGAATATTTCCGACACTTCATCCCCACCCCCGTCTCTACATCCGCAGTTAAACGGGTACCACCGAAGCCACCCCTAAGGTTACATTGGCTATTTATAAACCAGGACGTAAATATTCCTTACAAGTAAAACATCCTCGTCTTGATTTGTTTGCATCTACCGGCTCATACGTTGATAGATTGTACACAGTCTTTAGCGGGCAAACGTTTTGCTTACATCCACCGGGTCATACGTTGATAGACTGTACACAGTCTTTAGCGGTCAAACGTTTTGTTTGCATCCACCGGCTCATACGTTGATAGACTGTACACAGTCTTTAGCGGGCAAACGTCCATTGGCCATTTGTCGCATCAGGCAAACATTCCCGTTCTGCCTAATGGCATTCGGGCAAGCGGCATTCGGGCAAGCGGCATTCGGGCTTGTGGCATTCGGGCTTAAGGCATTCGGGCAAGCGGCATTCGGGCAAGCGACATTCGGGCTTGTGGCATTCGGTTATGTGTTGTTTGGGCATTAATTTTACTCCATTTTAACAGCCTTGATTAATTTTACTCATACCCAATTTTAACAAATTGATTGATTTTACCCCATTTAACAGCATTGATTGATTTTACCCAATGTCAACAGCATTGATTGATTTTACCCAATGTCAACAGCATTGATTGATTTTACCCAATGTCAACAACATTGATTGATTTTACCCAGTGTTCATCAATCTTGAGCCACTCATGCATAACGTAATACACGGCTACAGCAGCAGCTACTTAACACACTGATACCTTGTCTGATCAGTTTGTAACATTTTGCCTCTAACCACGGAGCTCATGGCCAACATTTCAAGTGTACGGGGAAGGGGGCGTGGCATTGTGAACAAGAACTGTTGTTTAGCTAAACTGCAGATCGTTTCTATTCAGGACATCGCTATTTCAAAATCATTTAACAAAACATTAAGGAACAATTACAAAACATTAATCTTTAAAACTAAATACAATGAAAGAAAATTGATAAAATTAAATATGTATTTCAAGTAAACAAGCCGACGATATTACTTCCCTGTTAGGTAAGAGAAGGGGTAGGGCAATACGGTGCAGTCATGAGTAGTATATTAGGTCCCTTTTGGAGCGAATTCTTGGCGGAGGAGCTGGTGGGGATGCGCAAAGACATATAGTAAAATACTCGGGAGCAGGATGCGCAGGCGGGACAATGACATATAGCAAAATACTCCACCAGCTGCCGCAGGGTGGTGGAGCAGGATGCGCAGGCGGGACAACGAGATATAGTAAAATACTACGCCAACTGGGGTTGGCGGAGGTGGAGGTGTGACGTAATCTCCGTTGACATTGTGACGTAATCAGCGATATTATGACGTAATTATTGACCTTGTGACGTAATCATTGACCTAGTTACGTAATTTTAATGCATTTTTTAATGAGTTTTAATGAGTTTTTAAAATTTTTAATTAATTTTTTATTCAAGAGTTACGTAATTTGATTATTTGTTTACTTTTTAATTAATTTTTATTGACTAGTTACGTAATGTGATTTTAATTACTTTGTTTATATTGTGTAATTTTTTATTGACCTAGTTACGTAATTGGATTTTAATGAGTTTGAATTTAATGTTGTAATTTTAATTAATTTTTATTAACGAGTTACGTAATTTGATTATTTGTTTGATTTTAAATTGTTTACTTTGTTTGTTTACTTGTTGTTTAATTTGTTGGTTTGTTTGAACGTATGTATGTTTTAAATAAAAGACTAACACTATCATGTACTAGAACAGTCTTTGTATACCAGCCTTTAACCAGACATGTAACATCTGTTACGTATCGAGCCGCCCGTGAACTTTCCAGGCGCTGGGCGGTTTTTAATGGGTATTATATCGATCGCAGCCGCTGGCCCAGATGATTAATGGCTTTTTTCCCCGCTCGGTTGACGGGTTATGGTAATTAACGACGTACATTAAGTGTCTCTCCGCGAAGCCCGCGTTAAGTGTGGGAACACCTGTTACCACGTTAATCGATTTTACCGAACGCTTTGTTAGCTC